CGATTGCCAAAAAATATAATAGGAAAACAGAAAGGCCACCTGTGTCAGCCCACCCTATAATAGGAACATGAGCTATAAGGGCATTTGTGAAATATTTTCAAACTGAGATGAGGGTGAAAAAATCAATATCAACACAGATTCTAAGCAGATGCAAAAGGCTTCTGTGCATGTTAGTGATTGTGTGTGGCCTACACGGGCTCATCGTACATACCTCCAAAACTCGGTGTACTTTCTCTTTTTAGTCTACTTGTGATTAAAACTACAGCCCATATGTATCAACTTTGACAATGGACATGAACACAAGGTAAAGTATTCAAGCCAGCAAGCTGAATTCTCCTTCTCATAGATGGATTTTTAATTCCTAAACAACCAAATTCTATCAGACACTCCACACTTAATATTTTTTCAACACTAAATATTTTGACAGTTGTATATTACAATTACTTTATTAGGAGGCCCTATAGAATTGATAATCTCAAGTTTTATCAGAATTGAGGGGCTCAAAGAGAAGGTAGTCGAGGAATACTCACAGCAAGCAGACAAAAGGGAACTCTTAGCACTCCCAGGGTTACATCAAAATCTCCATGAAGTGAAACTAAAATGAAATAGTTGACTTACTAAGAGGTAGATAACTAAAATAAACAACTAATTTCGTACAGTGAAGCTGGGCAGCATCATATGGACCCCATTCTGTTGTCTCCAAGTTCTGTACCAGAGGGGGAAAGGGAGCTGAGTAAACTTTAAACTCTCATGTAGGGACGTATTGCTTGTGTGTCCCTGGCAGATGTGGAAAGGAGATGAAATGGGCAAGGGAGAATCAAATATCCCTGCGCTGCAGGTTTGCTGAGAGAAAGAGCACTGCACAGATCTCACATCTGGCAATCATTTGTCAATGGCTGGAAAGAGAACGGCAGGAAACTTTCTGGCTCTTGGAGAAGATGAAAAGACAAAAACCATGTGTCATACACACGCACACTCACTCTGCAACGGTACAATGACTACTACACTTATTCTCTACACCTCCCCCCCCCCATTTAATGATCATCAGATATACTCCACTCTATGGTCAAAAACATGCAGTCGCTTGACTTGTTAAAGCTGCAGTGTATGTACATTTTTCAAATAAACCCCAGGGCTGATGTTAGAAAATCAAAATCAGTCAAGCAGAGACCGCCTGGCACTTTGGGCAGGAATCCTTGTGGTTTAGTCAATAAACACAGTCTGAATGAAAGACACCACAGTAACTAGACAGTAACGTTTTTGAACAGTTCTTAACCTAAAAGGGGCTTGGGGGGCTGGTGCACAAGTGACCAAGGACATTAGGCTACTAGTCCACTTAGGTTGCTCTGCCTTCAACATAACTCCACTTAGCGCCGGTCATTTGTTATTTCTCACAGAAAAGACAGGCAGGCAGGCAGGCAGACCCAGAGACCCAGGAGAGAATGAAAATGTCTTTGGGGATGCTGTGGGTGCACATGGGGGAAGAAACAGTTTTTAAAACAAATAAATAATTATACCTATTTAGGAAGGTAGCAAGGGAAGCCTCGGATTTGTTTAGTACATACTGGTGTTCACAATACAAAGAATTTGCTGGCTTCATTATGAGTTCATAAAAATGATCAGCTCTGCCCCAGTAGGTTTATCGTGTAATAAAAGTTTCCAACTCTCCCCATATAAAATTGAGTCAGTTCTCCAAAATCATAGGAATTTAAATCCGCTTATGGTGATTGATAAGACTTCTAGGGGTAGCTTTTGGTTCACCCTGATGGTGCATTTAACTAACAGCAGCGGCCTCCAAGCTTGCCCCTATGATTCTGCAAGTGAATGCTGCAGGTTGTTTAATAACCTGGCAAATTCACAGTAGCTTGTCAAATTATTACAGGAACAGTGTCATCACTAAACAAGCCTGATCACGGTTAATTACAATGCAGACCAGAGAGCAGCCACAATTGTTCATTAATTACAGGAAGCACCTCATTTAAATTTTATGGAAATTCACACTTGCACCCCAGTATGTCTGGAAAAAAAGCGATCCTTCACGCATTTACAGAAGAAAGGAGTCTGTGGTTTATGAAACATCACAGCAAATTGTGTCTAATCTGGTACTGAAATATTGGTTCATTATTTACTCTAATTTTCTAAGCACTTCAGTGGTAAAAAATACTAAGTCAAACCTCACATTTTGAATTCGCAACCAAGAAAAGAACTGTATTAAACTAACTATGACAACTTAATATATGATAAGGCACAGTTAGGTTAAAAAAGCCAACTTTTCTCTGATTAAAAAATAAAATATTTATCAGCAGTTAAGGGAGATCTAAGCTAGAAAAACCATCTCCTAGAAGATAATTTCCTAAGAGCACAATTCTTAGCTGTTATATGTCAATTAACCAACCAAGTTAAACAAAGTAACCCACTTCCATACCTGTAGAAAATAAATTTAGTGATTCAAAGTCTTGATTTCCAGCAATTTTACTAAATCAAACATTAACATAAAAATAGAGCAGATACCTTCACAAAGGTCAAAGCACACACAGACTTAAAAGATAACAGTCTTCATAGAAGAGTATGAAAATCTTGGGACTGCCAAATTACATTGCTACTAAGAAATGTGACATTTTAGGTATAAAAGGCGAACATTTTAAAGGAAAAAAGTAGCAGGAAGATGTTTCCACAGTCAAGAACTTAGGAGGAAGTTGTTTCTATGGTCGTAAGAATTTATGTTAGCTGAAATATAAAACTAAACCAGATATGAGGGTGTATGTCTAAAGGAAAATCCTTTTTAAGAAAGGATATAAAGAAACCACTGCTCCTAAATTGAGGTATACGGGAGATTATCCTCAGAATCAAGAGGCCAGAGAGTAAATCCCTAGTGGTTACAATGCCTGCCCCAGGAGGAAGACCTAAGATCCAACCAGAAGAAGTGAACAACTCTGGCAAGTCCAACAGAGATTTCGAGTTCCCTGAAGTGTCAAGCTAGACTAAAAAATTAGAAATGGCTTGTTCCCCAATACCTAAAAAAAGAAAAGAGCCAGATTCGTGCCATGGCAAGAAGGAAATGAGACAAAGCTAAAAAAATACTGCTGGAATTGTTAGCTGGTGAAGACCTTATGAAGCGTCAAGTTTATTACGACTTGATGGATACAGAATGCACTATGTTTCTGAAATGTGTGGAAGCCACATTCAGGGGGAAAGAGTGGAAAATGAAAGAGGATGCTTAAGCGGGTCCCCGTTAATTCACCGATTTACCAGAGTGGACAGTCTTTTAACACAGCCAGCCTTCCCACTCGGCTCACCAAAATGGTGTTACAAGACGAGAAGTCCAACAATATGAATCGCTTTTGTTCCTCTGTCAAAGAAATCGGTCTTTTTTGCAAGGCCCATACTGAACTGTCAACCACACAATCTGTTTACCTACATCCAGTTTCACTTAAACTTGTAAATACACTTTTTCTCCTTTATTATGTCAAAATAATGTGCTCCCTAGATCTTGTTCAGTTTTATTTCACACTTTCACATCTGTAAAACCCATTCTCTTCACACGTAACTGAAGGTTCAAAAACGGATTATCTAACCGTCACTCATAACAGATCACTGCCGTGATGTGTTTGAAAACCGTCACTCGTCCTACCCACAGAGGTCAAGGATCAGATTACTCTCCGTGAAAACTCTTCCATCACTCTGCATTTCTGTGTCACACACAAGCTGTTAGCTTTCTAGAACTAGGAAATACACATTCATGCCTCATATGTGTCATACCTGTCTTCCTATTGTACCACAGCCATACACCACCCAGACGGTACCAGCTTGGGGCACAGCAGAGCTCAGGTGGTCTTCCCTAGGCCAAGAGCAGGTGTGAACGAGATGGTATACTCGTCAGTGCCATAAAAACTGAAACCCCCCTTCCACCACTTCCACCCTCACTCCTGCTGTGGAGAAGTCAATTTTTAAAAGTGTTTTCTTTTTTCACATGGGGTATCTAAATCAGTAAAAATGTTATAAAATTGAACTCACTATGTTCACGCCATAAGCCAGAAAATTTACAAAAACAATGCCAAGTGCAAGCCCTGAAAAAATAATAATACAGGTTTGCTCAGAGTAGGAGATGCCAGCCATATTGAAACTTCAGCCTGTATCTTTGCAATGGCACATACACTTTTCAAAAGTTAAAACATATACAGAAATATGGACACGCCTCTACCCAAGAAGTGATACATATATTTTTAATTTACAAGACTCTACAAAGTGCTTCTAATGCCTCAAGACCACTCAAAATTGACTAAAATTTAAACCCGTATTTTTAGGAAAAATGTACTTTGCACGTATCTCTCAACCTATAAAGACATACAACCCTTATGATTGAAGTCCTGCTTTTCTTGTAATGTGTCCACTTGAATATCTGCTGTCCTGAGTTCAGAAACCAAAATACAGGAAGCATGACTTATCCCCAGTTTAGCATATGCTAATGATGACTCTAAGAGATGAAAGCTATTAAGTATTAAATCCTCTTATGTGCCAGGCCCCGTGTTAACTGCTAGATATAAATTAGGTCATTTAATTCTCATAATCACCTTTTGTAGTTAATCTCCATTTTATAGATGGGAAAACTAAGGCTAACATAGATTAAGTAACTTGTCAAATGTTCACAGTAACTTTTTTGAACCTTGGCAGTCAACCTGTCCACTACAAATTCTAGCACCATTCCCACTAGCACAGTACTGGGGGTGGAACCCAGAACCTCGCACATTCGAGGCAAACGCTCTAGTACTGAGCTACATTCCTGGTCAAAATGTATTTCTTGAATGAATAAATAAATCATCACCAGACACACCAAATTCATCGTGAAAAGGGCCTTTTGCCACACACGTGTATACTGGTTACTCTTCACACCTGTCTCAACGGTCATCTTGCCCTGACAGCGCTGCTAACACCCAAACGGCCTTCATGGAACACTGTTTCTGCCACACCACCCCCAGCTGATAAAACAGTAAGACTCCAACCTGGACTTCCAGCCTCTGGTCTGGCTCCTCCAGGTTTGGGCAGAAGTCTGCACCCAGCACTCTGCCAGCACATGCCAGTGGAACCTGGGGGAATACGGCTGGGTTAGATGCTGGGCATAGAGGCTACTGAGAACTGCACACATCACACGTGACCCGGACGGAAGCAGGGGTACCCCAACTGCAGACCTGAAACAAGCCATTACGGCTTGATGGGCATTTAATAGTTGGTATATCAAATATAAATATCCTAAAACCTACTTTATTCACTAAAGAAGTTAAATTCCAAGAAGAAAAGATCCACATTGGTTTCTGTTCCCTCCTATATTTATTGTAACACAAAGTAGGCATTTAATAAATATCTATGGACAGGAAGGATGAAGGAAGTTAAAAAAGGAAAGAAATGGGGAAGGGAAAAAGACTGAAACAGAATTTCTACTGGACACTGACATATTCTTTTTCTTTTGGCCTTCAATTCTCTTCTGTAACAATTAAGTTGTATTCAGTGATGCTTAAAGTTCTTTTCTACACTTAACTGTTTAAATTTATTTTTCTCATTCCTAGTATAGGCTAACACAAGCAGTCTTGTAGGTATCAACATTCATTATTTATTTATTTACAAGTGATGGTCAAAAATACAGTAAAAGCTTTAAAAGTTAATTTATTACTGTGAAAGACACACCGCCATTAACCCTTCCTCAGAATACTTCCCCTCTTTTCATACAAACTTATCCCACAGTCCTGCAGTTCTGAAAGTACCCCCTGCCCCCCCCCATATCGGAAATCGAACTGACGACCTCGCGCTTGCCAGGCAGGCGCTGTGTCGCTGAGCTAAATCCCCCTGGAAGTCCTCTTTCATGTCTTCAGTTGCAGTGTCCTGGCTGCCTTGGTATCCTCAATCAATTCAAAACCTTTAACTTGCATGCTCATTTTGACTTTGGGAAGAGCCAGAAGTCTCATGGTACCAGAGCCGGTGAATGAGGTAGATAAAGACACACACCCATGATAATGTTTTTATTTGACAAAAATGACCATAAACATTTGATCAAAAAGGATGATCAAAATATCATAAATATTTAAAGATTATAATAACAAATACATTGCCATTAATCCCCCACAAAATACTCAAAAAATTCCCTCTCACTTTGAACATATCTAGTCCTCATCCTTGATAATGTTTTAATGTATAAGTTTTCTTACTTAATTAAACATTAACTGTATTTCAATACCTCTTCTACATGGCTACTATCTTTAAGAACCTTGGTTTATAGGTATATTCTAATAAAAATGAAAACAATAGAAGTTATGATTTCATGGATATTTCTCTGTATCTAGAATTCTACAAGGAAACCCAGAAAGACTCCCTTAAAATTATGTTAACATATTATAATTACTCAATATCATCCCCAAATACTGCCTGCTGCCTATTTTAGATTTTAAGGTAAAGAAAAGGGGATTTAAATTCCACCTTTACCTATTTTCTACTTTTTAAAAATTTCTACAGGGAACTGGGGATGTAGTTCAGTGGTAAAGCGTTTGCCTAGCATGCACCATTTCCAGCACTGCAAAAGAATGTACGAATGCATGCACGCATGCATGGACGAATGAATGCTTCTCTAATCACTACACATACTTGCAAACATGCTCAATCCTCACTAATCATTTCTCTACCTAAATCTTACTACATGAACTAAGTGTCATCTCAACTCCACCCTCCTTCCTATCAAAGCATTCTTTTGGTGTTTTGTTTGGTATTTTTAAAATTCCAATTAAGCTCATCTGTGCTAATCAATTATCTGTGTTCAGAGATCTGTTTTCAGCCACATGTGCTGCTTTAGGTGTTTCTCTCTTTTAATTCAAAAATCAGTTTACTTCTCAAAACTTAAACAATTAAACATTAACTGTTCCTTTCAATAAAGCAATAAAAGTCCAATAGTATGACTCTCTCAGCTATCCTGTGTGTGTGTATATATATACATATTTTTTCCAATCTTATATGCCTATATTTGTTTAACTGAGTAACCAATTTCAAGATCACAATATGTAACACAACAACCATTGTTAATTTCCTATCACCTTGTCTGAAATTCTGTATTACTTCTATTGTTTGGGTATTATTTTGTTTATGTCTGTTTGTTTGTTAATGTATTTTTGCTCTTTATCTTTAACAATAAAAACAATTTTTAACTTAAACAATTTTCAAAAACTTTATTTTGCACTGGTAAATATCTCCAACAAAGGGGCTGGGGATTTAGCTCAGCGGCAAAGTGCCTGCCTGGCAAGCACAAGATCGTGAGTTTGGTTCCCGGTACCGGAGAAAAACCAAAAAAAAAAAAAAATATCTCCGACAAAAATTCAGTTAATTCTTCAAAAATTCTTGTCCCAGTGCTCTCCTTTTTAAATCTCTCATTTTTTTCCCCACCAGCGCTCACGAGGTGAAACAGACAGGTCACCCTGTCCTTAGAGGTCATAACTGAATTATAACCCTTGAACTGCACCACTGGAGGCCCACGCACCAATGCAGTCAACATGTGGGCAACTTACATATACACTTTTCCCATCAACAATCTTGTAAGCCATGTGCATGCCCATTTTTCACACAAAAAACTTAATTTTAGAATAGGTAAGAAACTCAGAGGCACATGCTATTAAGTCCCAAGCCCAAACTCAAACTTAAGAAATGGTAAAGATTGAAAACAAGGAAGTAGTAAAACCATGGTAATAACTACATTTAGAACCTAAGGGCATTTACGGAGGTTTCGTATGAAAGACATTACAAAGAGGACAAGAGAGGAAAAGAAGCAAGGGCCATCAAAAAGCGAGACCTGCTTGCTCTGGACCTAGGACAACGGCCAGCCTATGGCACATGTGTTATATTTCTCTTTTAAGACAAAAGATGTTAATGTGTGAGTTTTTTGTTTTGTTTTCCTAAAACCTCAGGATTCAGGTTTAACCATAATGTAAGCACTTTGTGATAAATAAGTGGGTTTTGGGTTGCAGTTTTGGTACTCGGTCTCTAAAATGTTTGCTATCACTGACCTAGACAACATAAACAACATGAAAGAGAATCTACCCTCTAAATTAAGGAATGAGAAAGAAATCAGGCATAGAGAAGAGCAGAGATATTAGGAATTGTGTTGTGTCACACAAGGAAATAACACTGATTCCACCCCTCAGCTGAAAGACGAGGCTGCATTAATGAGTTCTGTAACAGTAATTCTCCCTAGGAGGGCAACAGAAGAAAAGGCAAAAAAACCCATCCAAATATCCCATATCAAAATGAAACTCCCAAAAAGACTTCCTTTAAAACTTCAACAAATGTGACTATTAAAATGACTGAAGCAGATTCTATAAGCCAGAATACATACAACTGATATGCAAATTCTGCATAAATAATACCTTATTTTACATATACAAAACAAATTTCTACTTACCTTAGTGTTATTTGACAGTGTCAAAAAACTAAGTTTCTAGTTCCTTTTTATCCTCACAGCCACCGAATGCACTTTATAAACACTCTCAAGAGGAAAGGAGAAAGTTAAACAACTATAATTACATTCAATTATAACTTCAGACACTTAGAAATACAGTTTCTGAGAGAAAACAACAAAGTCTATGAACACACTGGGGAGGAAATCGTGCCAAGCTACCAGTATGTTTAAACAATCCTAATCACGAAAAGGAACCAGTAGGGAAGTAGGTGGCACTTTCAAACTTAGAATCCTACCATTTCTGAGCAAAAAAAAAAAACAATCCATAACCATCCATGAAAGTAGACTCCCATATTTCAGAGATGAGGCAGCTGACATTCAAACCCAAACTGCTTAGTTCACTAACAGATCATGATCTAACAATACCCAACATCCCCAGCATGAGGAGTGTCATCAAGTATCAGGAAACTTTTTTAAAAGGAAAGGCAGCCATATCTCTTAACTCATCAAAATATACCACAGAAAATACTAAAGACATAAGTAGATAACTTAATTTGGCGTATCTCGTTCTGCATTGATTCAGATACCTCAGAAGATAGCCAGGTATCTATACGCAATCAAAACGTAACTGATAGAAACAACAGCAGCCAGAATTATCTCATTATTATAAATTAAGATAATAAAATATGTATGTACCTACCCATTGTTTGGAAGATACATTTTAAACTGATTGAGAGGATTAACTTCACCCACTTTCCTTCATTTCTGGCAGTCAGTGTTAGGACAAAGCGCCCTACAGTAATTTTTACAAAATGCTCACAGTGATTAAGATTTGAAGACGTAGTTTTTTTTTTTTGAAGACAGTTTTTATTCTTGGCATCTGTGTATACTTTTGCTTTTACAGTACTAAAAAATTCAAATTAAACACAAAGATAAATAGTGAACTGATCAGCTAATATTTTCTAAATGGTATGCCGCCGGTTTAATGACAGGATGGTAACTGTCCAGAACTGATAAATTTGCCTCCGCTGGTGCTTGTAACAGGAAGTGAGAGGCCTTGTGAGGGACCCTGCAAAATCCCTAGGGTGAGCTGGATCTGAGTGCCTCTCCGTGCTCCTGTACATACCTCCAAGGAATCATGGTGTGTGTGAGAGCTATTTACAACTTATTCTGTGTATAATCAGCAGAGACAAAAGATGTGACAACAGGCACAAAGGCCTCCCAGGAGAATTCAGTAAGGGAGGGCCAGTGGGCCTTCACTTCGATGTCAAAAGGGCTTCCAGAAAACACACTTGCTGTGGGGCAGGGAGGAAACGTGGCAGGCTTCCCACTCCCCCCGACATACACACACATACACACACATTCTTTGTTTACTAAGATCCCATATAAAAACTGTTAGGCACTGAATTTCTGGGGGCGGGGGGACATAAAACACCCCATACTGCAAATGGGCATTACAGTTCAAACTATTTAAAGTTCAATGCAAGTAGAAGGTTGGTAGAACAAAGGAGACAAGAGTAGAAAGATAAAGACACACAAACGATAGCTGGGGGAGAGGGGCACGTTCATAAGATAGGTGCGTAAAAAGCCAGAGATGTTCCTTGCAGCCTGCGTCCCTGTGAAACTTAATGTTACTTTTAAATATTAAACATTCAG